AAACCGAGAATACCCATTTAGTAGTTAGGTCACAAAAAGCGTTATTTGGTTTTGTATGAAAGTTATAGTTCTTGTCAACTGACTTTGAAGATATATATCTTTATCAATGAGAAGGGGTCAGCACCAGATACCCCTCGGSACAAAATATCGCATGTAATATTATATCTTCATTTCGGACTACCAAACGTGYTTGCAAGTTAGTGCTTACTMCCGACCTCAATTGATTTGCATATATTTTTCACAATGAACATGGATCCTCTTACAACCGACGAAGTTCTAGACAAAATCGGTAGCTTTGGTCGATACCAAGTATTTCTTCTGTTGCTGATGGGTTTCATGAAGATTTTTGGAGATGGATTCCAAGCAATGATTATGTCCTTTTTAGCGGCTGAGCCACCCTGGCGATGTGCGATCAACAGTTCATTTTGCAACATCACTGGAAGTATTTCTCTTGGGCAAGATGGATATAAACTACGATGTAGCCTTCCTCGTGATGAATGGGAGTTCGATACGAGTGAATTTACGTCTGTTGTCTCAGAAGTAAGTASATGTGAAGACTATAATTTAACTTCATATTGTCCTCGTCCACAACGCCTGACGACCTTTAGAAATCAATCATTCAATACAAGCCATACAATGATATTAGTAAAAAGCACTGTCAAACTGTGAAAAATAAATATATAAGATTATTAATCGATCTCCTACAAAATTTCTACAAATACACGCACTTTTTGTTGCGATTGTATCATTGGAATCATTTACAAAAAAATGGATTTRCTTCACTCATACGACGGTTCTTTACAGACTGTAGTGCTGAGATAACGAGGCAATTACCTTGTTGGGCACATGAATGATATATGTGTCATAAAAAAATACTAGACCCTGACAGCAGGGTGTACTCGTGCCCTAAAGGTGTTGAAAAGTGCTGGCTATATTCAGTACTTTTTCAAATTGAGCTCATTTAAAACTTTTCACTTCAGTGATCGCCTATACGCCCAACCATGTAAATAAATCACGAAGTGATTTGAAAGTAACTCCTTTTTGATTATTTTTCATGCTATATTTAGCAGCTTTTGAAGGAACTAGATGACAAATATATCACGCAAGGAATGCAGACGTGTCTCAAATCGTTCACTCGGTTAGTCTTTATG